TAGGGGAAAAAAATTCCCAACCTGAAAAATACCTGGGACCAGTTCATGTTATCTAAAATCAAAGAATGAATTTTAGGATCAATGGAGGCTAAGAGAAGAATATATTTAATGGAGGGAAAGGAAGCTTCTATTCAAGAGAGGGACAGAAGGGGACCCAATTGGATTGCCAAGGAAGCCATCTTTTCTTGGGATTTTTATAGAGCATAATCATGAGGTGACACATGTCTAAGGTGGAAAACATGGGAACTTGATAGGTAGACATAAGGTGGGATGAAACAATGGTCAACCAATAAACTTACAAGCATAATTACTCAGATAAAATTGATTAAATCTGGATCAAATGGGGAAGGTAGTCACTTAGCAAATGGGCATGAATACTGAGCAGGGGCTTTTCCTGTAGGGATTAGTGACTCTTCCTGGCTTTTTGAAGGTGATAGAGACCTATTTAGAATCTCAATCCCTGACATCCATCCCTAGGGAGCTATGTGGCTGCATTCACTTAATCTTTTGTCTTGAGAGCTGTCCCATAGCTGGTGTGTCTGTCTTTCCCACAATTGCAAGGTACAGTGTCTTCCATACTCGCTCCTTCTGAGGGCCCAGCCCTGTCTGATTGCCTGTAATATTTTATCTAACTCAGCTGCCTACAACAAAATCATCACAAAAACCACAAATAAACATTTTGCTTTGACTCAGAAAGAACCTGATTCAGAGAAAAGTCCAGATTATTTCTCTGATGATGCTGAAAAAGAAAAAAACGTGCACTTCAGAGATACACACAGGAAATCCCCAAGGAAACCCTGAGGGAAGCCTCCCAGTGCATCCCCAGAGCAGTGGGAAGCCCCTATCTTGAGATTCAGAAGTCCATCCTGGACAGAGATCTGTGAGTGACCAATCAGGAGCAGGCTGGAGGTGGCGTATGGGTGGAGCCCTGAAGAGCTCACCTCCTAGGCTTTGAAAGGAAACAGATAGGGAGCAGTGAGTGCCATTACAGCCTTGGTCTTCTGGACAGTGAGAGCCGTTGGAGCCCAGCCTGCTGGGGACCTGTGGGCACCCAGAGGGATCTTGCACCTAGACCTGACAGGCAACTTGAGGCACAGCGGGAGTTGGAGCGAGTATACTAACCAGGGCAAAGCTGTAAAGGCTGTCTGAGTTTGCTGCCCTTGCCTCAGAGATCACCAGCAGGGGGCAGCATGAGGTCACAGCACCTGGAGCAGGAGGACCCTGCTGACCAGCCACGTACAACCTGCACCTGGGAGCATGACCTTTGCTGCTTCTCTGGATCCATTTTAGAGTTGTGTTAAACTTCAGAGAAGGGAGTTAGGTCATACATCTAGAGAGAGAGCTCTGATTTGTTCACTAGCATTTATTTACTGAACCGTTATTAATTGCTTTTACCTCTGGTTCCCTGCTTTGGTGGGTACTGGGGCTGCAGAGATGAGTGCTGCAGTCCTGTAATAATCGCAATGACAGGGCTCATGCTTGCAGGGCATTATTGTGGGTCATGATTGTTTCACTTCTGTCAGCTCTTCTAGTCCTCTGAGGTGAGCGCTCATATCTTTGTACTCATACCACAGAAAGCAACCACGCCTTGCCCACAGCCACCCAGCTGCAAACTGGTGAAGGCTCAGTTGGAATCCAGGCAGTCCATCCCTGGAGCCGTTCTCTCAAAGGCTTTGCTGCACTAACATAAGTACATAGCCAAGATGATATCCAAGAGCCATCACTCCTAAGAAAAGAATAAGATGTGTGTTGTGCTGGAGACTTGGGGTCAGGGCCACGGTGGCCAACCCAGAACTGGGACAGAGGGCAGAGATGACATACAATCACTGACCTGCAAGGACCACCTGCATGTGCCCACATCGTCTGTTGAGCCCCAGTGTTCCCCAGCTCAGGGACCCTATGGAACTTTTCTGCATCATGAAGCACCCAGCCTCCTTCCCTGGAGTATCTGGAGCCACTCAGAAATGAAGCATGTCAGAGGGGAGAGACCTGGGCCCAGATTGGGAGCAGGGCAGGAACTGAGCATCCACAGAAGGATGCAGAGAATTTCAGGTGTAAGTCTGGCAGTTTCCATGCAGACATACACCCACACATGCACAGAAATGAAAGCAGCCCAGACGCGAAGACACATATCGCCCCTTCCGGTCTTAGATTTTGACGTCCCTGAAGTTCCAGGGGTAGCAAGCCCCTCAGGATGTGCTGGGGAGCTTTGGATAGGTAGCAGGTTTTACTGGGGGGGATGGGCACTGGTTAGTTGAGAAGGATTACTTAGCTTGACACTACACAGTGAAGCAGGACCTCATTACCTCAGAAGAGGCCTCCACGTGATAAAGACACTCTGGTTTCCAGTTCTGGGACAGCTCTGTGGTGCTGAGTAGGCAGGGAGTCACGTGGTGATGGTGTTTCTTGGGGCAGTAGTTTCCAACACTGGCTGACCAACTAGCTCCCAGGAGGAACTCAGTAAGATGAGAGAGCACTGATGTTTTAATTCACTGGATCCAGAATGAATCCAAGATCATATGATTTTGTCAAGTCCTCTGGTCAGTTCTTCCAGTCACTCTTCTGAAGAGCCAGGAAAAGGCAGGCAGGCAAGTGGGCTGGAGTGGAAGTCCAGTCCAAAGCATTTGTGTGATTAAGAAATGGCTACCCATACCCCATTTCTTTGTTTAGGTTTTGTTTGACTTTTTTTTTTCTACAAGGAATCAAACTTAGAGCCTTGTGCTTGCCAGGCAGGCACTTGTGCTGCTGAGCTATCTCCCCAGCCTCACCTGATTTCTTTGAAGCCTGACACCTATGTTTGCCTGAATAAGAGTGCCTCTAACCCGGGAGCCAGTGTCCTGCACACATGAGGCCACCTGTACTGGGAATGGTCCTTCCTAGACAGGCCGCAGCCCTGGGTACCTCCTACCTTCCCAGCAATCTACCACCACTTTACAAAACCCACTTCCCAACATCCGCAATCCAGGCTCCTCGTGAGAGCTGAGAGCATTCCGGTTAATGGGGGGTGGGGATTCCTTGTTCCCAGAAGTATCCAGGGCACAGATCATTTACACAACAAGCAAACAACCTTCTGGGTCACAGGCTACACTGTGACACGTGCTTCCTGGGTCAAGCCCAGGGTCTGACTGCTGGTAGTGGATGGTCACAGGGAGGAAAGGAGTTTCCACAGATGTAATGTTGGGCTTCCAGTCAGAATGCTCAGTCCAGCCTCTGGCTTGGCTGTAGTACAGTGTCAGCAGCAGACCTATGAGACTGTAAGGAAAGACACTTCCTAGGAACAAAGTTCTGGGATTCCAGGATCTAGAAACTGTGCCAGAAGCATGGCCTTGAATGTGAAAGGCTTTGGTAGCCATTTTTGCATGTGACATGAGGTGAGTGACAGTCACCTTGGCATTGTCAGCACTTCCATAAAGTGGAAGAACTAACAGACTAATTTAAGACAAAGTCCCAGTCTCAGTAACTTGCCCTTCTGACATTCGCAGCCTGGCTTCCTTTAGATTCAAAAACAGCTAGAACATGCTTAGCCCACAATTAGCTTGCACACAAATGACCAGCAACAGAAATTGAAAACAGCCCTCAGATCCTACAACTCTGCTTCTTCGGGGGGTCCACAGTTGGTGTTCATGTGTGGCCACTGATTCATGTGGCTTCCAAAAACAAAAGCTTTAGAGGCTGAAGTACAAATGGAAAATGAGGCAAACACTCAGTGTGTAGGGAGCCAACCTCCTTCGGCTTCCAAACTCTGAAGCTTCCAGCCTCCAGGTCCTCCTCTTTTAACTGTGAGTTGGTAGAGACTCCAGCCTCTTGTCCGAAGATGTGGTCACTGGGCTGGAGCCCAGGCTGCAGACTTCTGAACACTACCTCCCATCACAGGATGCTTAGCACCCTGTCTTTAGCTTCTCTCTCTGTATATAGGAATAAAAGTCATCGTGTATTCTGAAATTAACTTCACTCCTCCCTAGCCAACCAGCAGAATTGAGAAATGAAGCCTGATAGGCAGTTTATCTCCATCCTAGATTGAAGTCAGAATAGTGGCTGTGGGCGGCACTTAGAGCAGCTCGGGCTAGAATGCTAGGTGCTCACAACTAGCCCTACCCATACTCCAGCTTGTGGAGGAGGCTTAAGGCCCTGTCTAGGCAAGAAGAAGGAATCAGCAAGTCATTCCCAAGGGGCAGAGTGTGGGGCAGTGTGAGCCAGGAAGGAAGGCCAGTGTGTGAGGGACATGGAGGGCTGCCCTGCCAGGGTGTAAGGCTGGTAACGAAGGAATGGGACAGTGCCAAGTTGGGAGGAGGAGCAAACAGAAGCCACCTGGGTCAGGTGGGAGATGGAAGACCAGAGCTTTCCCTGCAAGTCTGTGTCTCCCATCCACAAAGGCTGGGGAAAAAAAGACTTCAGTCCTCTGTGAATCTATAGCTGCAGACTCTGGCCCTTGTCACAGTGTGCAGAGGGAGGCACTCATCCCAATACAGTCCCCTTCCTATAAGACAGAAGGATTTGTGTAAGAGTGACCTGTCAGTTCTCTCATCTTTGTCTTAGTTATGAGAAAATTCAGGACAAAGTCTTGCACTGGGTCACAGTAACTCTTGTTCTGGGTGATCTTTGGTCATCTTTGATCTGCATCATTTTCTTCCTTTCTGTGAAGTTTCTAGGCTGCCCTTTTCCTATTTGTCTTAATCTGTGGTTCCATGGGTGCTTCTAAATTTTAAGAGTTTCCCACACCTTTGCAAGCAGTGTGGATCTGAGTTAGAAGGAGAGCCTGACTCATCCCAAAAGTACTCTCCCTGGCCCCCAAGTGTAGCACCTCAACAAGAGGTTCACAAGACTGAAAATTCAGCTGTACAACAGTCACGATGTGCTACACACCCAAGCCCAATCCCCGCCACCTCCACCCACTGGCCCACTGCTTGTACGTATCCCACCCCTTCCTGAAGAGTCCTGCAGCAGGAGACAGCTTGGCTGGAGAAAGGCCTGTCCACATTTACTTCTCAGAGGCCAATCAGTTCATCCATTTGTAAATGTTTTAATATATCCTTTCAAAAAGTATTTATCAAGAAATTATTGACTGCCAAATGCTTTTCTTTGACTTGGGACAGCACGGCTAGCAAAGCACTCCAGCCTCCTCTGAGCTGACCAGATTCCTTACCCCATTATCAGCTTAACTTTTTCATCCTGAGGCCAAATAGTCTCAACATTCGGCATGAGAAAGCTAGTACTCTTTGGAAGCAGCAGAGACCTCAGCAAAATGCCAGGAAAGAGACCAAGGACCATGGACCAAGGACCAGAGACCAAAGATGAGGAAGCAGTGGCTTCAGGCTGAGAATTCACAGATGGCCAGGCAGGATGCTCTGCAGGACAGGTCGTTCCAGAACCCGTCGGTCTTCAGAATCACACAGTCCTCCCCCTCATCACCATAGTCATTAGGCTCGTTGGTTTTCCAGTTGCTGTAGGCCAGCCTCCCTCCTGTCACATACATGAACTGACCTTCGGTCACCTCATCCGTTATGCCCAGGAAGACATTGTCGGTGGCCATTGCTTGGATAGCTTTGTTCTCCTCAGCATTCCTGGGAGTGGCCACAGTGCCCCTGAGCTCTGTGCACAGAGCCTTCACCTTGGCAAAGGTCATCTTTTCACCATTGGTCACGTAGAACTTCTTCCCAGACTTTTTGCCCAAAGAGAAGTCTTGCACTGAAATCATAGAAGCAAATGAGGCTGACACAGTCCAGAACTCACCTGAGCCTGAAAAACCAGCTGGCAGAGAACTCAAGACCCTGAAGATTCCCATGCCCATCCCTCAGGCCAGAGCCTTGGAAGAAGAAAGGATCCAGCTGCAGGGCCTATGGAGGAATACTGGGCACCTGTTTACCCCCATCCCAGGCTCTCCTGGGGAATCCAACCCTTAACAGCAACAGCAGTTAGAAGCTGTCCCAGGAGGTGGACACTGGGGGACAAGCTGGGGGCCAGGCTCAGGCACAGCAGATGTAGAGGAAGGAACAGTATGGAGACCACACTTCTGTTCTCCTCTGCCTCTGCTCTTCACTAGTTGGGTAATGCTGAAGGAGTTCCCTACACTTCCTGAGCTTCTTATGCCTTGCCGTATCTGCAAATATAAGAATAATAAGAACCACTCTGGGTGTTGGTAAGAGGACCAAATGGAACTGTAATATTACAAGGGAAGGCCAACCTCGTGCAAGCACAGGCACTGTAAGACGCATTCATAGCCCAACCCAGGCCAGGTAGACTGAAGTGCTGAGGGCCTGGGGCCACCACAGTCACCTTTGTACATTGGCTGTTCATCCTTAATGTATTTTCATAACATGTTGGGTACTTTAAATAGGTATAATTTTTATTGTAAATTATACTTCAATAAAGCAGGAAAATTAAAAAAAGACGCATTCATAAGTATGTTCTCTTCCACTCTGCCCAAGTCTAGTTCAGACTGGAGAAAAATGTGAGTGCCAAAAATGACTGGAAATGACAGTGAAAAAGCTTACATTTTTTGATGTGATCCAGTTCTGATTTCAGGTTTCTTATTTCCCTCTCTAAGTTAGCCAGCTTACTCTCAGCCACTGCAAAGCAAGGGAAACATGGGTATTTACCTAGAGGAGCTAAAATTGGAAGCCAAAGCATTAGCAAAAAAAAAAAAATGGCTTAGTAAAGAACATGCTTATTTCAGAAAAACAAGAAAGCTAGCGGCAGGCCAAATACCTCAGTGAATTAAAGCCCCTGCAAGCAGGCGCAAGGGAGGGCCTACCAGGATTCTATCCCCGGGCCTGCTGTGCCAGCCCTGCTAGCCCTGTCCCC